GTGGTTGGATTTTAATAATTCTTGGCTCATTAGATCCGTCTCAGTGAGTTGATTCCAATGGTATGTGTTTCATCCAAATTGGACTGGTGGATAAAAAGTTATTAAGAAATTTGTGTTTTTTCTTAATGTTACATAGGTCAACAATAGATATAACAAAACTGAATTTTCTAATTCATTTTTAATAGCACCAAAATATTATCTCTTTTAAACTCTATACCTTTATTAAAAACATAATAACTATTAAAGAATTATATAATTTCTCTCAACTAAAATATTTAAAATCTTTCTAAATCTAAATAGTTAATTACTTTTTTTATTATTAATTCTTTAGAATATAGTCTATACAAATATTCACTTAGAATTAAAATCATTACTAACAATCTCTCTACAATGCAAAATCTCTTAATACACTATTCTTATCTCTACTCAACAACTAATTGTATAAGATGCCAAAATTTTGAGAATACTTTATATCTCTTTACTTGTCTCTTTACTACTCATAATAACATAAATATATTAACTGATATTATCTTCAATATGCTTCTATATTTTAAACTTAAATCAATTACTCATATAACAAATCTTAAATATTCTTTTAACATCTTTAATATATTTATCAAATAATATCTCTTTACTTTTTCTTCATATTATTACTAGCTACTATCTATTAACTACTATTAACAATCCCCAAACAATTTTACATAACTAAATAGAAATACTTCTCATAAAACTATTCAACCTAACACTAGATTGATTTCATCAAGATATTTAGACTCAAAGAAATTTCTATTAACATCAATAAGAAATAGTCTTAAATATAATACTTAAAACAAAAAAAAAAAGTTTCTTTTCTATTACCAATTTCATCAAATTTACCTCAAATAACACAACTACAACAATTATTCAATACTTCTGACTTAGTAAGAAATTGGTTTCTAAATAGATCTTCTCTTACTACATATATTTAATAATGTTAAGACTAACACCTTAGAGTTTTCTTCTAACCTATTCTCAGTTTAAATTTAATTTGAAATGATTAGTTTAACTTTTTCAAGAAATAGGAGATGTAATGTCATATTGAGTGCCTAAAATATAACACAAATGTCTTAGAAATCTTAACTATTGTACATAGACTTAACTCTATTTTTTTAATTAATAAAGTTTCTACTTTGACATTATAAAAAAAAAAAAAAAAAAATTTAAGATATTAGATTTATTATATATTTAAAAATAACAATACTCTGATTGACATTATATTAATTCTGATCTCTCTTTAAAATTATAAACCTCTTCTTATTAACCTACTAATGACTCTATTATAGATAGTATTATATAAGAAAGTTGAAGTCTGAAGGTTCTTTTTAAAGCTCATATAACCAAGCCATAGTTTAATTTTATAGTTAAGTCAATCCTTAACTTTTTAGTCTTATATGAGCAATTAATCTTATATTTTTTATAAGAGTGATAAAGCCTTAAAGAGATATAAAAGATGATCAGATTGAAAGGAGATAATGTAATCTTTATTAATAAAATGAACTGATGAGAGGGATAGTTGTTGTTAGGATGTTTAGGAGTTATTAGTTATTATAATCATTATTTTGTATTATAGAATTGATAAGGGATGATAAGTCTTTTAGAAGGATTAAAAGACTTATCATCCGTCCTATTGTTCCAACAAGTATATAAGCAGGCAATTTTGCCTTTCAATAAAAATATCATTCACTTGATAAACTTTTCGACTGATAACATAAAGTCCAAACCTTCCTTTGACCCATAATTTCGCTAATAAATTTCAACATGTATTTCACTAAGTTAATAAACTTATCCCGTGATAACGTTACGCTGCTTATTTACTCTTCGAATAAGAGTAATTGTTGAGTGAAGAGAACTTGCCCTTTTAATTTTTTGTTTGACTATCCAAAGAGAAAGGATAGGTCATTTTAACTTGATTAAGAAAAGTTAGAAACTCAATAACGTTAAGAAGACAAGCCATGTGACCAGAGTCCGGAACGATAACCGAAGCCTTGGAATTCACTTACCAAATCTAATCGCCTCCTTCGGTAAGTTATCCTAGTACGTTACACAGAAGACTTGAAGTTTGAGCGACTGACTCACCGTATATTAAGACAACAATAGATTACCGAACCGCATACCCTTTTAATAACAATTATAAGTCGTATTACGTTAACTATTGCAACATTATCCGCTCTCCCAATTTACCATCCCTAATTGTGAAGAAATTACTTACAAATCAATAAAATTATTATTTTGACAACGTAATTACGTGATATTTGAAATTTTTTGGTGTCGATTTTACTCCAATCATACTGATCAATTCGGTTATAAGCAATTTTTCAGTGTCTCAGAATTTATGTAAAATTGGCTCTTCGATATATTAATTTTACAGTTTGATTTGCTAAAAGTAATATTATTTGAAACAGCTTTAGAGACCCCTTTATGGAGTATCTTCAATTAAACGGCTCATTTTTACAATTTATTTTATTTTATTTTTTGATAGAAGCATATTTGTTATAAGTTGCAAGAACAATTATTTAACAAAAGATTTATAAAGTTTTAGATTTACTTAAAATTATCGAAATGTAAAATGGGCTGAAGTTATTTTCCTTCTTTACATTTTTATTCATTTTTATAATAGAAACCGATGAAATGATAATGTAAAATTGCAATTAAAATATAAAATTTTATGCATACAATAATTGGTCATAAAAAAAATAAAGTTTAAACTAAAAATGTAAAATAAATGAAAGAATATTCAGTAGATTATTAATGAAACATAGCTTTCAAAATCCTTAGTTCGTTATAAAGATAACCGTATTTCAAATACTTAATTTTGCTTCTTTAAAATTTTCCTATTAGTTTATATATCGTTTCACGATTATTCAACGTGGTTGCGTCATTTGGTCCTTTTCCAAAGATTTATTGTAATCTGCAAGTGCTTCTTCATATTTATTCATATTTTTATACGTTACGCCACGGTTATTCAAGGTATTTGCATCATTTGGTCTTATTTCCAATGATTTATTGTAATCTGCAAGTGCTTCTTCATATTTACTCATATTATAATATGTTAATCCACGGCAACATAAAGTATCTGCATCATTTGGTTCTATTTCCAATGATTTATTGTAATCTGCAAGTGCTTCTTCATATTTATTCATATTTTTATACGTTACGCCACAATTATATAACGTAGTTGCATCATTTGGTCTTATTTCCAATGATTTATTGTAATCTGCAAGTGCTTCTTCATATTTACTCATATTACGATACGTATTTCCACGGTTATTCAAGGTATTGGCATCATTTGGTCTTATTTCCAATGATTTACTGTAATCTGCAAGTGCTGCTCCTAGAATATATCCATTCACTTCTGAGAATGTTCCAGCTGCACTTTATGATTCATTTAATAATGGCACCCTACCAAGATTTATGAATGTCATTAAGTTTAAATATCCTGTTACTTACTGGTATCCTGTGTGGCGCGAACTTCTAATCATACATTATTCATTAAAAAATTTAGCTAAAGATTAAATTACAATATTTTACGATTTTATGATGAGACTTATCTTCTTGAATTACTATGGAAACATGCTTTTAATCAGGGATATAAACAACAAAAGCATGATGATATTTTAACAATCTTAAATAATCAACAATTATTTCGTGGATTATGGACTAGAAAAGAACCAACTGAACTCCCGAATTCCTTATGGTTCGGAGTATTAGACCTTGCTCAAAATTTAAGCTATACAACAGATAAACCTATTAATTTAGCTCTTTGCTATTATTTAGGTTTAGAATCAATGCAAAAGTCTAAATGCTACTATATCCAATTTAAATCTTTAGAATTACTTATCTCACTTTCTTTTCGAGAGCCTGACTTGTTTAAGGATATTGTTCAAAAAGAAATTGATAATTTTATTGAGCAATTGCCATTAAACGCACAGCAAAAATTTACAATCTTAGTCAATGATGTAAACCAAAAGTTTCAGCTAGATAATGAATTTATCGAACAATTAAATGTAAATGGCCAAAGGAAATCAATTATCAAGAACAATTCGTTAGATAAAATATCGAATCCTGTATTAGAAATAATTATAGAACATTTTACCTGCCCAATCAATAGTGAGATATCTGGAGATTTTATTATTTTATCATGTTGTGGTCATTCTGTAAGCTATAATGCAATTAATGAATGGAAAAAAGCATTAATAAATGCGGGTAAAATATTTGAATGCCCATTTTGCAGATCTAAAATTAAGCCAGACACAATCTATAATCTTTCACAAAATGCAATGATAAAAGGTCTTCATAAAAGATTAGAGAAAGAAGGATATTTAATAGAAGAACGGCAAATATCAACAAACAAAATATACAATTTACTTTTAAAAACGAATAAAATGTGTATTTCAGTATTGAAAAAATTTCGCCCTAAAGCCTTACATCCAGCATTAAATAAAGCAACTAAAGCAGAACAACAAAAAGATTATACAACAGCTATAGTTTGGTTAACTCAACTTTTACAATTTTATCCAAAAAGCTATTCAATATTATGTAGAAGAGCATTTGCATCTTGGAAGCTTGAAATATATCCACAAGCATTAAAAGATCTTGCAGAAGCAATTCAATTAAAATCAACAAAAACCTTAGCTTACGATTATAGAAGTCAAATATTTAATGAAATGGGTAATTTTGAAGAAGCACTTTTAGATCGCAACAAATTATTGGAACTAACACCAAATAATGCAACTACTTTAAATAATCGTGGATTAAAGTATTATAATATGAGGAGATATGAAGAAGCACTTTCATATTACAATAAATCATTGGAAATAAGACCAAATTATGCAATTACCTTGTATAGTCGTGGATTAACTTATTATAATATGAGTAAATATGAAGAAGCACTTGCAGATTACAATAAATCATTGGAAATAAGACCAAATTACGCAAGTACCTTGAGTAACCGTGGATTAACTTATTATAATATGAGTAGATATGAAGAAGCACTTGCAGATTACAATAAATCATTGGAAATAAGACCAAATTACGCAAGTACCTTGAGTAACCGTGGATTAACTTATTATAATATGAGTAGATATGAAGAAGCACTTGCAGATTACAATAAATCATTGGAAATAAGACCAAATTACGCAAGTACCTTGAGTAACCGTGGATTAACTTATTATAATATGAGTAGATATGAAGAAGCACTTGCAGATTACAATAAATCATTGGAAATAAGACCAAATTACGCAAGTACCTTGAGTAACCGTG